CTTTTGTTTTTAATTTTCTGGTTTTATTTGGTTTTTTATTTTATTTTATTTTAATTTTCTGGTTTTATTTCATTGGTTTTTATGTCATTAGTTTATTTTACTGCCTCAAAGACATTTTTAAATTTAAATATTAAAAAGTTACTTTACTGAAGTGCACTTTAATTTTTTTTTACTGAAAAGCATTTAATCGACTTAACCAAAATGTGTTAAGTTATTTTATGTATGTTTTAGGTGTACATAAAATAAACAACTACTGATATGTATAGAAGCCCTCATAGCTTATTTCTGTATGAGGTCATATGGTAAGTGACCAGGGCCTCAGCTAAAAATGAGACTTTTTACAAACCTGACCCTGCCTCTGCAAAATTATAAGATTTAGCTGGGGGTTGATAGCCATGGCTAAAGTAAAATTTATAATACTTTATATAATGTAAATTTATGCATACATTTACTATTTATTAAATACTGGGGTATATATATATATATTTTTTAAACTAATTCACTTCCAACTAGGTTGCAAGCAATCACTTTTATTTTATGGGTTATAGAGAATAGGGTTAAAGAGTAAGGAAACAGTTAACTGAAGACTTAAAATGTTGTGGGTTGTATAAGTCAGGAAAACATGAATGATGAAATGATGAAAGATCAGTAAAATTTTTGAGGTTGAAAATGAAATGTATCATATTTACACAGAATAAATTCACCAACTTTCAATTTATTGATGTTAATTTGCTGATTAGGTCAAATACTTTGAATACCAGAAAGAGAAAGCATGCCTGTTATATTAAAATCTTCACTTGTTTTTTTTTTTTTTTTTAATTATCTTCGCTTCTAACAAGGTTGCAAGCAACCACTTATTAGTGTTGGAAGTTACTGGAAGAGAAAAGATGAAGATTGTAGAACAAGATAACGATTGACAGTCGACTTAAAATATTGCAAATTATATGAATCAGGAAAGCAAGATGAAGAAAGCGAATTCCAAAGAACTAATTTTCGAGGAAAAAAACTAGACGAATAAGAGTTTTTGGAGCACTTAGGAACAGTAACAGAAAAAGGATGAGACTTAATTGAATGACGAGTAACACGAGAATGAATTTTAGTAGATGGCACAAGAGACGCTAGCTCTTTAGAGCAGTGCCCATTATAGTATTTGTAGAAAAGAGAAAGAGAAGCAACATTACGACGATGTGACAGAGGTTGAAAGTTGGCTGCAAGAGCAGGTCCAACTATGTTTACAATGCGTTTTTGCACCTTGTCTAAAAGAGAAAGGGCATCATTAGAAGATCCGCCCCAGATATGGCAACAGTATTCCATACAAGGCCGGATTTGAGATTTATAGAGATAGAGAATGGAATCCAGAGTAAGAAAGTGACGAGCTCGATAAAGAGAAGCAACTTAAGCAGATGCTAATTTTGCAACAGATTTGATATAAGGTTTCCAAGAAAGATCAGAAGTAAGAGTTAATCCTAGAAGATGAAGGGTAGGAGACTCATCAAGTACATTACCGTTCATAAATATAGGAAGGCCTAAATTATTGCAATAACGATTGGCCGAAAAAAGTTGAGTTTTATCTGAATTAAAGTTCACCAGCCACTGCGAGCCCCATGCTGTAGCAGAAGTGAGATCCTTTTCGAGCTCAGATGCCCCCTGCAAGCAATCAGAGGGAGTTAGCTTCTTATCGTGACAAGAATAAATGGTAGTATCATTAGCGAACAATGCCACCTTAGATGTGAGAATATCTGGAAGATCGTTAATGTAAATTAAAAAGAGTATAGGGCCAAGGATTGAACCTTGGGGAACCCCTGAGGTTACAGAATAAGAAGAAGAGTGCTGTCCATCAAGGACAACTTTTATACTACGATTGGAAAGGAAGGATTCAATAATCTCAAAGATGTTTCCAGATACACCATAAGAAGAAAGCTTATGGAGGAGACCAGCATGCCAAACTTTATCAAACGCTTTAGAAATGTCAAGAGCAATGGCCTTAACCTCTCCACCTTTATCTAATGCGCGATAAAACCTATCGGTTATTACTGATAGCAAATCAGCCGTAGAACGAGAAGATCGAAATCCATACTGATGATCAGAAAGTAGGTTATGAGATTCGAGATGAGAGATTAAGTTTTTGTTAATTAAGGATTCAAAAACCTTGCTTATGATAGGAAGAAGACTAATGGGACGGTAGTTAGATGAGTCAGATCGCTCTCCAGAATTTTTAAAAATAGGGATAACAGATGCTGCTTTCCAGCAGGCTGGAAAACAAGACTCTGATAAGCACTTGTTGAATAGTTTTGAAAGGATAGACAACAGCTCCGGAGAACACTTCTGCAAGACTATAACAGGTATGTTGTCCGGGCCGCAAGCTGTAGAAGAGTCTAAGCGGGAAATCACTTTAGATACAGAAGCCGGAGTGATACGAATGTCGAGCAATGGATCAACCTGTTTGACGGGTATATCAGGTAAAATGCAACTAGTGGCATTAAGAGATGATATTGATGAAAAGTTCTTGGCAAACAATTCAGCTTTGTCTTTAGGTGAGGTGACAAAGTCTGAACCGTACAAAAGAGGTGGAATTACAGACTTGCCCTTATTATTGATACTATTAAAGATTCTCCTGAAGTCACGAGAGCCTAATTTTTGGAAGTAATGGTTTCGATTGGCAATTGCAGCAGCACAATGTGAAGAAAACCATAGAGAAGAGTGAGGCTTTACCTGGAATCGTCGAGAGGGAATAAAGGATTCCATGCCAGCCTGAATCCACGAAGTTATGTAAGAAGCACATTTGTCAACAGGGAGACGAAAGATTTCTACCCAGGGGCCATCACGAAGAAAGTCACGAAAAGAGTCCCAGTCAGCTTTAAGGTAGTTGTAAGATGTACGATGATAGGGGGATTCTAATGGTGAAGAAGAATGAGATAATAGTTTTAGAGAGACCAAACCATGATCAGACGCACCTAAGGGTGAATGTGAAGAAACTGAGCACTGACTAGGATCAGAAACAAGACATAAGTCGAGTAGAGAAGGTAAATGATTCAGGTTGTCTGGAAAGCGAGTTGGAAAGTTGACTATTTGAGTTAGGGATTGAGAAAGACAAAATGTTGGTTTAAAGCTAATAGTATCTATAGATTCTGGGTTAAATTGATGATAGCTCCTAATTCCAGGATTTGTTCTACCTAACTGAAAACGTTTTTTCAGAATGATGCGCAATTCTATAAATCTTTCTTTTTCAATCTTGAAAATAATCTCTTTATTTTAATATCTGGTCATTTATAAGCCTTTGTAGACTTGCATTTGCAGTTAATAGTTATACTGTGCCACCAATACCATCACATGGTGACTTATTATGACTTGTAGCAAAAAATCAATATCAAAATCATCTTTATGGAAATGGATATTGTAAAAGTTTTTGTGTTTTATATACTGTGCAACACAACCATCTAAAAATTATAGAATCTTTGAAATATTAGGATGATTTTCCTTTATATACTTAACTATTTGTCTGAACACAAAACCAATGTCATGCTTATTATCATCTGACATAAAGCAAAATTAATTCTTTAAGCCAGTCATTTTCGTTTAACAAATAGGGGGCAACCGAGTGTAACTTAAATTGATTTTGGCACCAATGCTTACTTTAGATTTTATCTTGAATCCCAAATGTGTAGTTTTCTGCAAAATCACCTAAAACAATACAGAAGTCTTTTGGCAACTTTTTTTTGTTGCCTTAGGTATCTTGCTTGACATTTTGCAATGTATAAATGAGCTGGTAATTTGTTTATTACATGATAACATCAATTTATATTCTTCAATCCTTGTTCTTTGACAGATCAATATTGTTCTGTCTGTTTTCTTTTCAATTCAAAAAATTTTAAATTGTTCAATGTAAAATTCTGTTAAAATCATTATTTTAGATGGATGAATGTATTTAATCCATATACTTGCAAATCAAAATTCATATAAACATATGTACTTTCTAAAAACATTTAAGAAAGATTATTGAATACAGAATGATCAAAAACTGAATGGAACAAATATAAAACAAAAATTTTGAAAACAATATTTTTAAAGTTATATTTACCCCATTTAAAATGCAAAAAAAAAAAAAATTTTTATATGAGAAAAGTAGGGCATGGCCCCCAGTACCCCAACCCTCTGGTCATCTGCCCTGGAAACAATTTTAACAAGCGTTTATCAGGACTACACAAATGCTGAAATTTCCATAAATTATTTGAAAAAATGGGGCCCATGACCCAGCCCCTCCCCTGTGTCTAAGACCCTAAAAACATGGACGTTCATTGGCACTACAGAAATGCCAAAGGTTTCAGAGCTCCAGCAAGTCTAGACGGTAGTGAAAAATTAATTGCAATACATTGCAACAAAAAAGTGGGGATCCTGTGCCCCACTATCCATATATGGAAATCCATATACTTGCATATCAAAATTTGTATATTTTTTGAAAAATCAATGAATATAGAATGATTTTTAATTTTTTTTTTGATATCATCAAGGCTGCATGGGTTTCTTGAGCATTAAAATCAGGTATATTAAAAATTGCCTAAATTTATTTCAATTGATAAATACAGGTACTTTAAAATAATTATTTACTTTTCTGATATTGTCGTTAGATTTGCCACCCCTGAAAATAGCCAGATACAAATTTTTAAGTAGAAAGATAAAATATTTTTAAAGTTATGTAACTTGAAACCTCTAAATAAACGTTGCAACTCTGAAGAGAATAAGGATACAAAGAGGGGACTGGCCAACTTCTGTTAAAATGATCATATTTGAGGATCTTCTTAGAGCAAGAGGCTAAAATTTTATTAAGTATTTATTTTTATTAAAAATTTTATTATTTGTTTTAATAAGTACTCTCAACTGTTTAAAAATCAGCAAAATCTGAGATGTAGAGTGAGATTTTTAAAAAATTCTGTGTTACTTGACATGGAATCACCCATATTTTATATTGTTTTCATTAAAGTTTTTTCAATTTGATATTGTAGGTTGACAATCCTTTCATTATTCTTACAAATTCAATGTCTTGTGAAAAACTTTTAAATGAAGGTATGTTTAAACAAAGTTTGTCTTAAATTAAATTTTTATACTTTATTAAGACTGATCATATCAAATCTTAAAAAGATGCAGTATGTAAGCTTAAAATTATCTTTAAAAATTCATTAAAAGTATATAAAAAGAATATACTAAACATTTTAATATAAAAATATTATAATAAATATTTATCTAAAATAGAAAATCTTTTAAAAAAAGATAAAAAGAAAAAAATGAATAGAAATGTAGAAAATCTTTAAAAATTCTTTTTCTTTTTTTTTTTTTTTTAAATAAAAAAAGTTAGCATTGTTATGAATATTAAAGATAAGTTTCTTGGCCTTGATGGCCAGACTTATAAATAAATATGTAAGTTTTATTTTATTTTAAAATGATTAAATAATCTATTTTATTTTAAAACAAATGTAAAAACCTAATACCACAAAACAATAAAAGTAAATAAAGAATTAAAAATTATAGTAAAAGAATTTAATGGTTTTACAAGCATGACATCATGTTGTCATGCTTGTAAAAATAAGATCATTAAAAATAATATTAAATGAAGGGGAAATAAGATTCAATTATATGTTTGGATCATTTTGAAACTAAGTATTTAAAGTATGGGAAATAAGTTACTTTAAAACTTGAAATAAGCCATATTCTAACAATTTATTCTGATAAATTTTGCATTACATCTTTTATAATTCCTAAAATAACTAACTTTTGTAAACCTCTAACTGAGCAAGATTCTTCTTCTCAGATGATTTTATTTAATTCAAGAAATGGATAAAATAAAAAATATTGATATAATTCTTGAATCTAACTCTCCAAATGGGTTTAGTTTTTAAAGTTAAGGAAGTTTTTTTTTGGAATTGATTCAATAAAATCATTAAAAATATTATTAAATGAGGGTGAAAAAAGCAATCATTGTGTTCTCCTTTTTGATAAAATGTCTTTACAGCAATCTTGTGAAAACCAGTTGTAGGTTATTAGGAAAAGATACTGAGGGTAATCTCTTTAAATTGTTTATGATTATTGGTCTCAAAAAATCAATCTCTTATATTATTAAAGCTATCCTAGAGATTTCGATCCTAGAGACTTGTATCCTAGAGACTAGATCATAGAAGGTTTTATTAAAGATATCACCGAAAATTTTGACAGACGACTTAAAAGATTGTCTCTGATAAGCACTTGTTGAATAGTTTTAGTATAGACGACAGCTGCGGAGAACACTTCTGCAAGACTATAACAGGTATGTTGTCCAAGCTACAAGCTGTAGAAGAGTCTAAGCAGGAAATCACTTTAGATACAGAAGCTAGAGTGATACGAATGTCAAGCAATGGATCAACCTGTTTGACGGCTATATAAGGTAGAACGCAACTAGTGGAATCAAGAGATGATATTGATGAAAAGTTCTTAGTAAACAATTCAACTTTGTCTTTAGGTGAGGTGACAAAGTCTGAACCATACAAAAGAGGTGGAATTACAGACTTGCTTTTATTATTGATACTATTAAAGATTCTCCCCAAGTCATGAGAGCCAAATTTTTGTGATGAAATACGAGATTTTATGACCTGAGAATAGTGGGCTTTGGCATCAGACGAAACCTTTTTACAATGGTTCCTAGCAGTAATAAACTGACGTCTGTTTTCTGGAGAATTGTTTTACTGATAGATATGGAAGTAACAGTTTCGATTGGCAATTGCAGCAGCACAATGTGAGGAAAACCATGGAGAAGAAAACTAAGCACTGACTAGGATTCAAGTTGTCTGGAAAGCAAGTTGGAAAGTTGACTATTTGAGTTAGGGATTGAGAAAGGCAAAAGTTTTAGACTTTAATGCCTGCATAGTCACTGACACTTGAGACAAGCTATTTAGTGTGATGAACATTAACATCACCGACAACAACAATATTGGCTGATGAATAAAGAGAGAGGGCTCAGTCAATATGATCAGAAATAACATCAAGAAGAGTGCAGTCTTGAGATGAAGGAGAGCGATATAGAACAAAGAGAAAGGTGATAGAGTGAAGTGATGCTAAACGAAAGCACATAAAAGAGTAGTCTGTGGATATAAACCTAGTTTCCTGACAAATGGGTGAATTCTTACAAATGTAAATGCCCAGGCCAAGCATGTGACTATTGGAGTCTTTACGAATTAAAAGAAGATAACCATCAACACTAAGATCACAAGATGAGACAGAAAAACTCAAATTAGTCTCACAAAGAGCAAGTAGGTCTGTTGAACAAGAGATAAGACTCAACAAAAGAAAAGTTACTTCGAAGACCACGAATATTAGTGAATGATAGGTTAAAGGAACTTGGTGATGACTGTGTTTTTTTGTGTTTTATAGTTTTTGTTACTTTATTCATTTTTAAATTTGTGAAAGAAATTGACTCGAAACATAGATAGTACTCAGTACTCTGTTTAATAGTCCAAGCAATTGCCTCATTACTATAAATAAACCCTAATCCATAACAAAGGGCTCCAATGTGGCGTTGGCAATGCACACCAAAAGTACAAAGAGGGACACCATCCATCCGCAACATGGCACTGTTAGTACTTTGATATTTTTTTAGCTGTTGATGGAATCAGCCTCTCTGAGAGCTACCACAGAGTTCGAGAAACCTGACTAGCAGCGGGGCTCAGTACCATAAAACTGAGTTTTAGAGCTGTACCCTCATTAGGAGATAATAGATTGAGTTGCCTAGTCATAAAAACAGAGACATAAACAAAACTCATGCATCGAGTCAAGAAGATCCAGCATTCAACATCCTAAACTGGAAACAATAATTTAAGAATACATCTGCGCCAGCCTAATAGATAAAGAAGGGGTGTGAGGCCGGTCAACACATAGGATCTGTTTACCCCGTAAATCTTTACCTAGGAGGCCTTCTTCAAGAAGGCCTCCTAGTTAGCCGGATGCATTTAACATCTGCCCAAAATGAGTATTTTTATTGAGACACCATCTCTAGCCTTTACTCAACCAAGAGCCCTAAGGCAAGGGGTGTTTTATGTCGGAGTTGGCATCTCCTAGCCTTAGCCTAAAAAGGCATATCCTACAAGGCAGCAGGACATAAAGCAGATTGTACTGGGTTACATCTTATCAGTAGCAGGATAAACCTGACCTGACTTAACTTAAGAAAAGCATCGAAACTATGAAAAAAAGGTTTTATATCCAGGTAATAACAAACAAGATGACTAGCTAAAATGAAATATATTCCATGAAACAACTCAGCAGCATAATGATAATAACTTAATTATGAAGTTATTTTCATAATGAATAATTAGTATCCAAATTTTTAAAACTCATTAATTTATAGTGGGTGTAATCAATTCTGCTATGAAATAATATAATCATAAATTCAGTAATTAATCTGTTAAGTGGGTTACTATCCAACAGTTTTTGCATGCATTTCCTTGCTGGGTTAAACAGTGGAAAAATTTGTGATGCTGTTAAACTAAAAGATATTGTCATACAACTCAGACTTCTAAAGCACTAATTGTAGCATTACAAATTACTTCTAGTTTAATTGAAGATCTTTTTTTTGAAGGATGAATCATGTTCTAACTCTTTGAAATGATATATGAGAGTTTTTCAAAGTACCAGATTTCTTATTGAATTATGTAAAGTAAATACTTTTGAGAAAATATTGCAAATGAGATCATTGTTAAAAGAAAACTCTGACTTTTAGAAATTGGATTTAAAACCTTTTAACTCAGTTGAGATTCTAAATTCAATTTCAGAATTTTTAGTTAATAATATCAATGTGAATTTGATAAAAATAGTTAAGAAGTTCCTATTTTTATTGCTGGATTTATATGCAGAGTTAAATGTGAATTGTGTTTTACATTGTTAAAAAATGATACCATTGACATAAATATAGAATATATTGAACTACTATCCAGAATAGGTCTCATAAAGTCTTCAAAATTACTGACACATAATGTCATTAATATGTATATATATATATATATATATATATATATATATATATATATATATATATATATATATATATATATATATATATATATATATATATATATATATATATATATATATATATATATATATGTATATGTATATGTATATGTATATATATATATATATATATATATATATATATATATACATGTGTGTATGTATACTTGTATGTATGTACTATGATGTATGTAGCCCCCAGCAGCAGGTTATTTTTAAAATAAAAACTAAAAGAAAAAAAAAGATAAAAGTAGTTTTTACTGATAGGATAAAAGTTACTTGTTAACAATAAGAAAAATTATTTAAACTGAAATCCAAAATTCAGTTTTATAAGCTTTACAGAATGTAAAATGATTTTGTGATAAATGCAACCTAGAAGAGTAATTATATTTCATATTAATATAAAAAAATATTTGCATTGTGGACAAAAGTAGGTATTCACCTCCCCAAGGCCGACGGGGCTGCTACAGTCAAAGTTACAACCCTCTCTCAACTCTCTGACTCCAAAATGCAAACATTGCTGAACAAGACCTTGCGGAGAAACAAGTTGAATGTGGTACTACCAGGGACAGGGTAGGGATCGAACTCAAAACCTTTTCTTTACAAAGCGGAAGCTCTGCCACTTCAATACTACTTTAAGTAATTTTACAAAATCTCTTTTAAGAAACACTTATAAATTTTATAAGAATATGATATATATTTATTCATTTAAATATAAAAATACTTTGTTGATGTATTGTTTTAGATTTACCTCAAAATATCAATAACGATGATTTAAAGTTTTCAAAGGTTTGTATTTTAACAAGATGGTCATGATTGCCTTTCAAAGGTTAAAATCTTGACAAAACAGTCATGATAGCCTTTCAAAGGTTTGTATCTTGACAAGGTTGTTGACAAGGTTGATTGAAAAGCGCGTTGAAAATATATGATAATGTTAACTATGTATTAATATTCTTTTTATGTATTTTGATTTCATACAAAACATATTTTAACTAACAAAAAAGTCCACATTGTGCTAACTTAAGATATTAACACTAACAGCATGGACCAAACTCTAAAGAGTTTGTAAAGTAGAGTAAATTACTTGTTATTCACATATATTTATAGATATTTATTTTTGTTATTAGATATGATATTAAGATTATACTTTGTTTATATTGAATATATTTTATAGTGTGTCAAAGGTATAACAGTTCATTGGATAATTGTTTAATTGTTGAAATTGCTTATACTATTTCAACATCAAAATCAATATTTTTATCAAAAAATATATTCATATGAATATAACCATGTTTTAAAATGTTTAGTTTTAATATTTTTTTGTGAAAACTTAGTTTTGTATTGTGTTTTCAATTCTAGTTTTTTACTTGTTTATAGTATTTTTTTCTTTTTATTGTTTTGTTTTGTGTTTTATTTAAGTGTTTTATAGTTTGTTTCATTATTTCTGTAGTACTTATAATTAAAAACAGTTTTATTTACTAATTTATTTAAAAAAATTTACTATAAAAAGGTTTTTTTAAATCTTGTTACTTAATTATTGTTGTAGTATGTTGTTGTTGTTGGCGTTCTTTTTAATGTTATTGTTGTTTTTGTTGTTGTTTTTAATGTTATTGTTGTTTTGGTTGTTGTTATTGTTATTTTTATTGATGCTTTTGTTGTTGTTGTTATTGTTGTTTTTTTGTTGTTGTTGTTGTTGTTGCTGTTATTGTTGTTGCTGTTGATATTTTTGTCGTTTTTGTTTTTTTTATTTTTGTTGTTGTTTTTGTTATTGTTGTTGTTATTGCTGTTATTGTTGTTTTTGTTGTTGTTTTTGTTGTTGTTGTTTTTGTTGTTGTTATTGTTGTTGTTGTTTTTGTTGTCGTTGTTTTTGTTGTTGTTTTTGTTGTTGTTTTTTTAGTTTTTAATTTTGTTATTGTTATTATTGTATTATTGTTTTTGTAAACAATGCTGTACAACTATTTAAAGTTTGAATTTTTTAAGGGAATTTAAAAAAACAGAATTTTTAATAATCTTTCAAAACTTTTTTAGATACACGCAGGTTATGCATATGATTTTAAACGGAAAGCTGAAAACATAATACTATGTTGTAAACTCACAAAACAGATTTATAGAATTGTTCAGTTAGTATTTTTATACCTATTTATATATATATATATATATATATATATATATATATATATATATATATATATATATATATATATATATATATATATATTCTAATAAATAAGAAAACTGTTTTAATTTTTGTTAAATATATTGAAATGCTTAAATGAAATGATTTAAAATTAATTTGAACTAATAGAGACCTTATAATAAAAATACAATAAAATAACACAATTAAAAAATGGAACAAATGTTTTAAAAACAATAAAAGAACCGGTAATGTTAAAGGAACTAGATTAAAAGTACCATTTTTACATAGTTCACTTTTTTATTAACAGTGGATTTTTCCCACTCTATGTAGATGCTTTCTTTAGGCTTTAATGTAAATTTGTTGGAGGCCGAATTCAAAATTGAAAAACTAACACAATTAAAACTATTAAAGAGCTTTCATATATGTGTATATATATATATATATATATATATATATATATATATATATATATATATTCCTATAGTTTGACTTCTTAATTTAACATTTGTGGTGAAAAACGGCTATAATCAGCTCTTTGTGTTTAAAGAAGACAAAATCAAGTACACTTTTGTCAAAATCATTAAATTTAATTGCGGAACTTAATAGACTGGATCGTTTTCTAATTTTTTAAATAAAAAAAGAAACATAAACGTTTTTATTTTTTTACTGTTTACATACATCGTCAGACTAATAAGATATGTTTTTCAGATTAGAAGTTGTTAAGTAAGGTATGTCTCTAGAAATGCTTCATATAAGATGTTTTTTAGATTAGAAGTTATTATAGTTGCTTCTCTTTGCAATTTTTCTATATTTTTAATTTCTTTTTTTAAATTTGAAGATAAAACTTGAGCAAATAATTCAATAGGTTGTATTAATACTTTGTATAGTAACTTAAGATAAGGTTCATTGTGATTTGTTTTTGATGCAGATGTTATTATCTGTTCTACTTAAAATAGTTTGAATGTTTTTTTGTCTACAAAATATTTTTTTTTAATTCTCTTCTATTAGGTTCCACCTATTAGGTAAGAATGAAACACTTTTTGTGCCATAATGCATTTTGTTCACACTTTTTGTTCTATAATGCATTACATGACATTTTTAAATATTAAAGGTAAGTAACAGTTTTTTTTGGACAAAACGGTAACTTCATACTATTCAGAACCTTTTCTGCTTTTTCTTTATATTTAACTTTTAATGAGACCTTTGTTTTATTATATTTTGAGCCTTTAAAAAATTAAGTCTGAGGTAATTGAGTCTGAAGATCTTTGAGGTAATCTACCCAAAACATTTTTCCATGACAACATCACCTTGTTTGATTCTTTAATGCATTCTACTTATAAGTCTTTATACCCACTTTAATAGTTTTCTACTTACATCATAAGTCATAAATTTGAAACTTCTATGAGTTATGTCAAATGCTTAGCAAAATCAAGGTAAATATGATCAATTGGTTATCAGATGTTTCGAGGAGATTTGTTTTACATAATTTTTTTTTTTTTTTTTATAAATCCATGTTGTTTTGACAATACTAAATTATTACTATGTAATCTGGAAATATTTTTGAAGTTTTTTAAAACTTATGCAATTGCAAAGGGTAAATTTTTTGTGATTAAGGGTAAGAGTCATAAGATAGGCTCTTAACACTGGTATGTAACTTGATGCTAACAGCTTGTCGCTATTCTTAAAAAATGTTTTTACATCTGCAAATAGAATTTACAAGAGAAATATGCTGATATGTATAGTATATGTATATGCTGATATGAAGCTTGAAAAATTAAAATAAGTAGAAGTGTCAATGAACAGTATCATGTCTCATTGATTTATCACACTTAATGTTCTGTAATGTAAACAATTACATTATTGATACGAGAATTATCAAAATCAATGTTACTATTTTTGACATGAAAATCGTGTA